GGGGTTTTCTGGATCTGAGGCCCCTTCCACATAGCTGTATAAATAAAATCCACATTGAACCGGATTATACGTCAGTGTGGACTAGGGGGATCTTCCACACAGCCATATAACCCAGAATATCAAATCCCACAATATCTGCTTTGATTACAGTATCTGTCGGGGAAGGTAAAGGCGCTCAGCGCAGTCATGCCGGCCACATGACCTTGGAGGTGTCTACGGACAACGCCGGCTCTTCAGCTTAGAAATGGAGATGAGCACTACCTTCCAGAGTCCTACACGACTGGATTTAATGTCAAGGGAAACCTTTACCTTTTGTGCGCTTTGAACTGCGACATCTGAGCCCACACTGTCATTTATTCCAGTTCAAAGCAAATAATGTGGGATTTTATTCAGCTGTGTGGAAGGGTCCTCAGATAATCCACTTCAAAGCAGATATTGCGGGTTATCTGCCTTGGTATTCAGGGTCATATGGCTGTGTGGAAGGGCCCTGAGACGCTTGTAGGCAAGGCAAACCCCAAACAAAGTACTAATTTGCGTAAAGACAAAGGAAAGAAATCAAAACTTGAGGAAGGATCTGTAGCTACACTTAGTTTTGGAGGAGACAGTGGATCTAATAAATAAAGCCAGCAAAGGAAGAAGGGAATGAAAGAGGGCGAGAGTGGGGCCTAATTTCCTTGAACCCACTTTAAATCCGGTTTCTGCCTCCTGCAGAATTCCAGGGTTTTGTACTTTAGGGAGGAGCCTGTAACAGCCTCACTAAACGACAAACCCCAGAATTCTGCAGGAAGCAGAAACCGGATTTAAAGTGGATTCATTGTCTAGTAGGATGAGGTAGTAGTAGATCTATGGGACCCAGTAGACTTTTCTACTTGCAGCAAGTCACTGGATGGATTTCCTCACTAATGGGGATTTAGGAGACCAGTGGGTTGCAGAATCTATTACTAGTCTCCATTCCTTCCCAATGGTTTAAGTTCTTCCTTCCTCCCTTCTTTTCGTCTTCCTTCCTTCCTTCCTTCCCTTACTTCTCTTTCTTTTCTTCCTTCCTTTCCTTTCCCTTCCTTCCTTTCTCTTCCATTCTTCCTTCCTTCCTCCCTTCCTTCCTTCCTTTCCTTCCTTCCTTCCTTCCTTCCTTCCTTCTCTTCCTTCCTTCCTTCCTTCTCCTTCCTCCCTCCCTCCCTCCTTCTTTTCTCTTCTTCTCCTTCCTTCTCCTTCTCCTTCCTTTCTTTTTTTCTTCCTTTTTCCTTCTTTCCTTCCCTTCCTCTCTTCCTTCCTTCCTTCTTTTTCTTCCTTCCTTCCTTCCTTCCTTCCTTCCTTCCTTCCTTCCTTCCTCCCTTCTTTTCATCTTCCTTTCTTCCTTCCCTTCCTTCCTTACATCCTTCCTTCCTTCCTTCTTTTCGTCTTCCTTCCTTCCTTCCTTCCTTCCTTCCTTCCTTCCTTCCTTCCTCCTCCCTTCTTTTTCTCTCTTCCTTCCTTCCTTCCTTCCTTACATCCTTCCTTCCTTCTTTTCGTCTTCCTTCTTTCCTTCCTTCCTTCCATCCTTCCTTCCTTTTTCCTTCCTTCCTTTCTTCCTTCCTTCTTCTCTTCCTTCCTTCTTTTCTCTTCCTTTCTTCCTTCCTTCCTTCCTCCTTCCTTCCTTCCTTCCCTTCCTTCCCTTCCTTCCTTCCATCCTTCTTCCCTTCCTTCTCCCTTTTTTCTTCCTTTCTTCCTCCCTTCCTTCCTTCCCTTCCTTCCTTCCTTCCTTCCTTCCTTCCTTCCTTCCTTCCTTCCTTTTCGTCTTCCTTTCTTCCTTCCCTTTCCTTCCTTTCCTTCCTTTCCTTCCTTCCTTCCTCCCTTCTTTTCGTCTTCCTTTCTTCCTTCCCTCCCTCCCTTTCCTCTTCCTTTTTTGTATAGTCTTCTGACACGCCTATGGGTGCAGATATAGATTTTCTATCAAGTTCCGTGTCCAAAGGTGCATCTACATTGTGCTTTGGCATCACCTAGAACCATAGCTGGGAGAGAGACCCCCTGAGCCATCCAATCCAACCCCATTCTGCCAGAGAGCAAGAAAATTGCAGTCAAAGCACCCCGGACAGATGGCCATCCAGCCTCTGTTTAAAAGCCTCCAAAGAAGAAGCCTCCACCACACTCCGGGCAGAGAGTTCCACTGCTGAACAGTCTCACAGTCAGGAAGTTCTTCTTCATGTTCAGATGGAATCTCCTTCCTTGTAGTTTGAAGCCATTGTTCTGCAGTCCTGAACTGCCATGGCCCAATGCTATGGAATGATGGGAGTTGCAGTTTTAACAAAGGCTTCCCTTTCTACCAAAGTGGAGTGGTGCCTCCCCAAACGATAACTCCCAGCATCTCATAGCATGGAGCAATTTGGCATCATTGGACTCCAATGGCATTGAATCTTCAGTGTAGATGGACACTAATAGGGGCTTCCTGGAGATAAAGGTGGAGGGCGTGCCTATATAAATACTACTACTACTACTACTACTACTACTAATAATAATAATAATGAATTACATTACATTGTGTTATAAAATATTATATTAATATATTAATATATTATAAAATTATAAAAAATATATTATTATTATATATTAATTAATTAATAATTAATAAATAAAGTTTTTTGGCCACATAATGAGAAGAATGGAAAGCTTAGAGAAGACAATTATGCTGGGGAAAAGGAAGGAAAAGGCAAGGACAAGATGGATGGATGACATCCTTGAAGTGACTGGCTTGACCTTGAAGGAGCTGGGGGTGGTGACGGCCGACAGGGAGCTCTGGCGTGGGGTGGTTCAGGAGGTCATGGAGAGTCGGAAGCAACTGAACGAATGAACAAGAACATATTATAATATATTTATTATAATAAATATAATATAATATAATATAATATAATATTATATAATATAATATAATATAAATATAATATATATAATAATATAATATAATATAATAATAATATATATAATTAATATATATAATATAATATTATTATATTATATTGTATATTATATTATTTATATTATATTTATTATATTATATTATATTATTTATTATTATATTATATTTCTATATTATATTATATTATTATTATTATTATATTATATTATATTATATTATATTATATTATATTATATATTATATTATATTATATTATATTATATTATATTATATTATATTATATTATATTATATTATATTATATTATATTATATTATTATTATGGGCCGATTTGTTTATTAGACACGTGTACCTGCTCGTCTGAATTAGTCCCTACGCCGCTGCCTCCTCCTTGCCTTCTCCTTCCATCCCTTTAGGATAGAAAATCGAAATTATAATTCCCGTCTGGGTTTTTTAAAAGGAGTCCTTTCACCAACAAAAGGAGCCGTTGCTAAGCGCAGTTCCCGCCACGCCGGGCTAATTCGATTGTAATTCAAGAAAGAAAGAGAGAAAGAGAGAGAGAGAGAAAGGAGGAAAAACACTCCAAGGAGTGTGATGCTATCCCCACCCAAAACACACACACACACCAAGACTCTTAAGTGTATTTATTTATACACAAATGCCCAAACAAGACATTATTCCCCACCCCGATTCTACTCAATTCCTTTTAAAATGTCGCAATTGGCTACTTTGATTAGCATTTAATGGCCTTGTAGCGTCAAAGCCTAGCTGATTGCTGCCTGGGGGAATCCTTTGTTGGGAGGTGTTATCTGGCCCTGATTGATTCTTGTCTGGAATCCCCCCTCTCCCTTTAGTGTTGTTTTTTATTTACTGTTATGATTTTAGAGTTTATTTGCTGTGAGCTTTCTGGGCTGTCTGGCCATGTTCCAGAAGCATTCTCTTCTGACGTTTCGCCCACATTTATGGCAGGCATCCTCAGAGGTTGTGAGGTCTTTTGGAAACTAGGAAAATTGGGTTTATATCTGTGGAAACCCGTTATGATTTTAGAGAAGAAAGCTGGG